AGAGGCCGGAAGTATTTGCATCAGCCGCTGGAACGGCTTTGCTGCACAGTTTACATATCGGCTGCGTTTGTTCTTTATCAGATGGCTGAAATCCGAAATATAACCAAACAACCGAGCTGCCTCCCCTTTTGGGCAAAAGTGGTGTTTGTTGTGTCTGTGACCTGGCAACCGTTTCGGACTCTATAACCGCTGCTGTGGTAACATCTTCTTGGGTGTCCATCATTCATTTTTTTTCAAGCCAGAAAGAAATTTCGCGGGCTCTCTCCGTCAGTAATGTCGCAAACGTATGGTGCAAAGCCACGTGACGTAAAGCGGTGTAGTGTCGCAAAACCATGTTCTCTACACATTATCTTTTTATTCTCTTTTTTTTTTTTTTTGTTATATACACTTAGAGTTTGCATAGCAAAAACGCAAAATGTTATATTAACAAATTATATTAAAATGTATATTAGGAGTAATGATAATAATAAAAAAGTTTATCACGATAGAAAAAATAGAGGAGAAAGGTCACGATAGACATGTTTCTCTCGTCCTCACGATATATATCGCCATATCGCCCAGTAATAACTAATGCAGTAACTAATGCAGACTCATTTGTTTTAATGTTGTCTCCTCTGTTTAAGATCTATATGCGTCTAAATATAGTTTGGTTGGATTACAGGAGTTATAAAATATTATTTAACATTAAAATTTCTTCTTAAATAGTCTTTAGTCTTTGTTTTTTGAATGCAGTTCAGTTCAATTAGGGCTTCACCTCATGATTATTTTTCAAATTGATAGCAAAAGGTCCCTTAAACAAGACTTTATGAAACCAAACCAGGTGAAGCTAAAACTTTTCCACTTAAGTTGGCTGGAAAGAGCATATTGACGGATGAAAAATATATTTTTTTATCTTTAATGCAAAATATTCATACATTTTTTTCCTAATATAGGTATATTTACTGCTCTAAGTGGGCTGTTCTGTCAACTAAAGTAATAATAGTACTAATTGATTACTAAATTAGATTAATGATGATTACTTGTTTCAGTCCTAGCGAGAATACATGTTACATTACCACTTTTTCTTGGTCACTTACTTTGTAAATAAAGTTACATAAGCAGTAACTGATTACATGAAGGTGAGTTCCTGATTATTGGAATCGCCTCTTTTGGTGGAATAAAGATGGAATTCGTGATATTAAGGTGGGCTAATGTTAATATCCCACCTTAAAGGACAATAATAAAGGAAAGCAAACCACAAAAAAACAAAGGAAAAACACTAAATCACTTTCTCACTGTGGATTGTTTGGCAGGTTTTAACTAAACCTAAATGCCGACACATACTAAAATTAAGTTAGATTTCCAAGTGATTGTTCCTTTAAGGATCCAATTAAATCCATTGAATAGTTCAGGTTTTTGTGCTGCATTATTATTAAAAAGAAAAAAGAACTCATTTAGTACATACAAACAACAAGTGTTGCTCTTATTATGGTACTACCCATAGCATTAGAATCAATAAATCAGCAATTAATACTATTAGAATGATTTAATAGCGTTGTGATGGGATTTTAATGAATACAACTCCAGTTAGTGCGGGGCCTTTAATTGCATTTGCAATATAGTCACAATTTAGCTAGGTATAAATTGTTAAAACATATAGGCACTCAGTTTTAGTCACATTACATTTAACACGAGTAGGACTATAAATTTCATCACTCCAGTCCTTTAGGTGGTGGTTATGCGCTTAAGGTTGATTTGCCGCCACACAGAAAAGAAGAGACGGTTGCAGCTAGGATGCCGACAAATGCATGATCATAGAAGTAAGAACTGTTTCACGCAAAGGTTACTGTAAATTCCTGCAGCAACGGAGTCTTAAGGTCAATTTATACTGCTAACGCATAGCCTTTGCAACTGCCAAATCTGTCTCTGTGCGCGACCACGCCCCCCCACACAGAGGTTCTGCAACCATCGTCGTGCACCAAAAAAAATCCTGACTAAGCGTTGGACGGATGCAAACCCGCGCAGACCTCAAGCGGAAGTGCGCAGACAAAAAGCAGGTGTGATTGGTCCTCGGTATGCCTTTCCGGCTGTCTGTATGATCCTCCTTCTTGATTCGGTGCCAGGGCGCGCCATTTTTAAAAATCGACGAGTAATAACAACAATGGATAACCACGACGAAAGGTTGATCGCAGAGGTTCGGAAGTACAACCACTTGTACGATGCCTCACACGTGTTGTTTTGGAAAATAAACACTCCCGCCAGTGCCACCGAAGAAGATCTCGCAAGTTCTCTAATCGGCTCCCCCTACCGCTTTGGCAGGAAACTGCTGTGCGTCCCTAGTAATTCCAGACAGACGTTGCAGAAGCAAACCAGCAAAACTGGTTCGCGACCAGACGCAAGCTACATTTGATGTGTGCGGTTGCAGAAGTATAATGCACCCTTTAGCAAGCTAGCTTTCAAGGTGATGAAAAACTCAAACCCTTGATGCTTGTTCTTATTGCAAAGGAAAATCCCAATTGCGATGTCAGTTGAAAAAAAATCGCAATTTTTTATCATTGGTAAAATCCTACAGCACTAATTCCAATTAATATTTTCTACAGGAAATTGTTCAGGGGTATTTCTTAAGAATTAAAAATGGTTCCCTCGTTTCACGAGTCCGTTCCATCGCTGACGTTCAGATGTTCAGGTCAGGACTTCACTGCTTCAGGCTGGTGTGTTGTTTAATCTTGCGGGCTAAGATTTTCTTGGCACCCTTTGTACCCCTTATCTGTACTTATAGCCACTTCCAGCTGGATAATAATCCATGTCGGAGAGATTAAATCCCCCTAAAACTGGTTTCCTCCACATGATAATGAGCCCTCTGCTCTAATGGCCTTCACAGCTCCCAGATCACAATAAAAAAGGTGCTCAATTCATTGTTTCAAAGAATTGAGTAAGAAGAAATATCTAATATACATTGACATTATATGACCATCTAATGAGCCGCTTTTGTCTTTTGCTGAGTTTTAAATACATAATCATGGACATCATTTGTTAGTAATACCTACATTATGTGTTATCTATAAGGTATGCAATACTGACCTTGGATAAAAGAAACAAACCTTTAAATGCCTATGCTTTAAATGGAACTGATCTTTGGGAGCGATTTGTTTGTATTGACCTGATTGAGAGGTCAGCTGCACTTGACCAGGAACAGAAGCAACGCTTCGATCAATACTAATGTGCCTTCCCTTTGAGGCATCCATCGGCAGAATGGATGGTTGTTTACCTCCGCGCTCTTACAAGAAGGCTGAGGTCGACCGCTGAGGGTTTTTTTTTTATTGACATTTAAACGCGGCACCGTCTTGGATGTTGATGGAGCCATTTCAACTTTTCCAAACCAGCCTACAACCACTGTAACGCACTCAGGCCATGGATTTGGCTCTACCCTCGTCCCCCTACACAGTCCTGCCTTTATTTCCTGCTGTGACATCATCACCGCCCCTGCTGACTCAGAGTTCCCTTCTTCCCACTTCCTGCTCCAGACAGGAAATGAGCAGGGCAGGACATTTGGAGCGAGGGAAACGTGGGCGGACAAAGACACACCTGTGTTCACCACACTAGACTCCGTGTTCCCTCACACTGTTGTCGAAGTGGGACACGGAGCTTATTTATAGGCAGATGTGTGTTTTTTGTGTGTTTGGTTGGGTTGACTTTACTGTAATTTAAAAAGATCTTATTTTAATATATTTCTAACCTTTTAACCCACTGAAATAAAACCAAAGTAATGCTTTTTAAACCCTCCTGAGCCTTGCTGGTAAGCTGATCTCTTGTGCTGCAGACCTGTCTTTGTTTTCAGCATGCAGCAGCTGCCAACCCGGCCCCCTTTTTGCTGCTGTGACTGAGGCGACTGTGCTCCCTGCAGCTGCGCAGACCCATGTGTCACTGCCACACCTGTTCAATAGGCTTGTGTTGACAGAGCGATATCACACGTCGACTGTCTGCAAATTACAAGAGCGACACGGCACAGCCTGACCTATAATCTAACCGGGCAATTATGTTTGTTTTTCTCTTTTTTTTAAAGGCAGCACTCTCCCCGTTGTTACTAGTGGTGTGTTTGCTGTGAAAACACTCTTTTGCCTCCGAGGCCACACGCTGCGTCTGAACAACAGTTGGTGGGAAGAAAAGCAAGAGCAGCAGCTGAGGGGATAGCTTTTGCTGTAGTTAGCCTTAGCATCATCTCACTTCCCCACATACTGCACAATATTAGTGCTTATACTCCAAGGCAACCTCTGTATGCAAGCTAAAACTATAATATTTTTCCCCTTATTAGGGTTGGATTAAGAATTTCACTGAAATAAAAGTGAGATTGAGCTTTTTTAGCAATATTTTAAATAAATCAGGCTTTAAGAATACATATATAGCGGAGGAAGTGTGATGCTGCGGGCCTTTTTTCACTCAATTTTTAAATGCTTGTTAGAGTGCTGAGATGGTTGTTTCAACATGCTCACATGTAATCAACTTGTAATTTTTTGCTACAACAACCTCCTAACATATGAGTCTGCACTGTAGGGTGCTGAGGTGTTTAAACCTGCAGACTTGTGAGTCACAATCGATGCACACCTAACAGTTTTGACAAGGCTCTGACTCATGTCAGGGTTACTGGATAACGTGCATCATCTGTTTTAGTTTTCTTCCCTGTCTGTGATTTTTTTTCAATGTAGACGTAAAGCAGGAGAGTTTATATTAAAGGCTATAGGCTGCTTGATTGGTTTCAAAGCTTAGCAGAAAGAGTCATTTTGTCTGAGCTTAGCTGATTCTCCAGCTCAAGCACCCTTCAGTGTTAATCCACTGCTTTCTTGTGCAGAAGAACTCGCTTCGCTCTGATCCAGCTGCGGTGTTCTTGAGCACAAGAAGAAAACTAAAACTAATAGAGCAGCTGTAATCTGTGATGTTTGTCTGGAAGGCCTTTAGTGAGGTGTGGTTAGACTCAAACAGAAACCAACTCATGAGTAATTCTGTTTTTTTCCTTCTTTTCCTAGGGGATAAAAGCCCGGCCGCAGAGTGGAGTGCTGGTTTGACCTTTACCCTTAGTAGGAAGAAAGGAAAAGCCACTTCAGAGGTAAGAGTTCCTGTAAATTATAGTTGGTAAATGCTGACATTGCTGTTTCGCTTGTCTAAAAAGGACAAGCTTTGGTGAAGTAGCAAGCGCTGGGTTCCTACAGAGTTTGGAAAACTAAGGATTTTTGATTTCAGTCATTTCATTTAAGTATGTATGGATATAGGAAGTAGTGTCCCGCTTCCTTTCTTTATTTCCTCTTTCCCTTCCCTACTTCCTTAGATCACTGTTTGTTGTTATTCCTTATTATTACTTCTTTTTATCCCTTTAGATTTTACCCCTCATCGGTGTTCTTCCTTCCTTCCTGCTTTCCTTTTTGTTGTCCTGCCTCCCTTTCTTTGCCCATCTATAAATTCTTATGTCCTCGCTCCTCAACAATCTAGCTTGTTTTCCACAGTCCTTCCTTCCTTCCGTCGGTCCTACCTTCCTTCCTTCATTCCGTCAGTCTTTCCTTCCTTCCTTCCTTCCTTCCTTCCTTCCTTCCTTCCTTCCTTCCTTCCTTCCTTCCTTCCTTCCTTCCTTCCTTCCTTCCTTCCTTCCTTCCTTCCTTCCTTCCTTCCTTCCTTCCTTCCACCGGTCCTTCCTTCTGTTCTTTCTGTCCTTCCTTCGGTTCTTCCTTCCTTCCTTGTCTCTCTTTTGATTTTCTTCCCTTTTTGGGTCATTTTGTCCCTCTGTCTTTTCCTGTGTCCTACATCATTAACTTCTTGTGTCATGCTTCCTTCCATCCATCCTTTCTCTTAATTAATCTCCCTCCCTAGCTTTGATTCTCCTACCTTTATTCCTTAATTTTATGCCCTCCCTTCTTTGGACATGTCTTTGTCTCCATCCACTCTTTCTTCCCTTTCTTACTGTCCTGTTATTTTTTTCCAAGTTCCACATTCAAAGTAGAATCATCTGAGCCTGAAAACATTGTTTAGTACGTACATGATGAATGTGGAGGAATCCTGTAAGTCTCTTTGAAGTAAAACTCCTGAAAACCCATGCCTCCTTACACCGGGCGTCACTCAGATACCCGTTAAGCTTTATTTAAACCAGCCTCCTCAGTCATCTAACTGAATTACATTTTTATCTCCGTGGTTTTACCAGTTTACAATAGAGATTCATTTAGTTTGTTAGCTGCTGTGAGTTCAGATTTTTAGGACCGTAGTGATTTACGCCCGAAAAATTCCCTGAGAAGGTTGGTGTAAATCAAAGCCAAATGAAAGAGTCCTCCTTACTGAAGGAGATCATTCTTGACTTAAGTGGAACCATGTGAGGCTGAATGGAGGCCATGGTTTTCAGAAATATGCTCTCTTTATACCATTTATATGTTTCCCTGTTGATCTAATCCTTTACTTGAAGACTAAGGAGATATGAAGGAGGTTTAAACAACAAATGACAGAAAAAACTAAAGGTGTGTTCTACTTTTTTAGAGCCTATGGTTTATAAAGCTTAACATTTTAAAGGTCTCGTAATGGTTGCAGAAAGACCAATCTGATTAGACAATTAACTTGAAATGTGGCACAGGGCAGTCTAATGCTGCAGGAGTACAGTACAAAACCAAAGTTAAAGGTTTCTTATTTTCAACATTGTAATATAAGGCATTGTTTTACCACAATTAGATTTGTTATTTCATCGCTATCCATCTTTCACCTAGCCATTGGAAACAAATGTAGTTCAATCCAACTGCATGCTAGTGTGTGGCCCTTATGGGAAATGCTGTCTTCCCAAAAAGGCAAAAGAACATAGCTTTTGTCCACTGGGGGCAGTTAGAATTGACCAAAACTACTTTAAAGGGACACTATGCAACATTTTTCAGTTAATTAATGTGTTCCATAACGTTATGGATGACTAAATGAGTCATTTCAGGTTGAACAAAGGTATTCTCGGCCGCCCTGGTGGTCTGTTGGGGAAATACTGCACTTGCAACTGCAGGAGCACCGACCCGCACCCACAGGCTCAGAAGTCTCGTGAGAGTCAGTCTTGCTTTACGGCGAGAACTGCTACACGCCCCCAGTTAAAAGCATTCTCATTGCTAGCACAGTGGCAATCTTTGTGCAGTTATGCTACGTTCACGCAGCAAAAGCAGCAAAATCGTGTCTGCTGCTTCATTTTTGCTGCTTGTACCAGTTAGTTCTGACGCGCGGCTGAAGCAGCTTTGCTGCTCTGGCTGCAAAAGTGTGTCTGAGGCGCGTTGGGCGGAGCTTCACTATCCTTTCTCTGCCTTGCAGCTATATTTGCTGTGATCAGTGGGAATAAAGTAGTTTTAATATGTTTTTAAGTGAGAAAATACACCTGAAAACGTAATCAGTGCAGTCAGTTCATTCAGATTATTATCCTGCCTTCAATATTTTTTTCTGTCGGAGCCGCTCAGACCCCCACATACCGGGGATGCGCCGACAGTATGGATCCCTTCATCAGCAGCGGCGGCAGCTGGTAGGTGTTTTTCATCTAAATAATCCAAACTGCATATTCTGCCGGCAGATTTCTGCATTTTAAGTTAATTTAGGCGTCAATAAACTGTTTAAGAGGAGTGATCATCAGCGCTGTGTCTCTCTCCCTGCGTTAAACGCACCCGACGCGCTGCTTCAACAGCTCAGACGTGCTGCGCCTGGTGCTCAAAACGCGCCGCGGGACCTTTTGCTGCGCCTTGACGCGCGTCAACCATTGACTTTGCATGTAAACTCGCTGCTTCTGTCGCGCCAGCTACGTCCATTGTGAACGCAGCATTAGTCATTCGCTGCTAAGCTCAAAACAACCGCGCCTGGCTTGACGGAGAAACCAGGAGAACAGCTGTGCATATTTACGACAGTGCACTTTTAATTTCGCCCTCTGTAGGGAGCCTCGCTGGAAAATCAACACCGGTTGCATAGTGTACCTTTAAATGTAATGTGACAAAGTGCTTCTAAGATTGAAAATGCTTTTTTCTAATTTTTTTTATATTGAAAATTTAATTATTTACCCAGCCCTACTTTTGAGATTTTGAATAATATCAAAATTTGATAATAAATATCTTAGCCATTGTTTTGTTATTTTGTCAACATACACTATATTGCCAAAAGTATTTGCTCACCCATCCAAATTATTGGAATCAGGTGTTCCAATCACTTCCATGGCCACAGGTGTATAAATTCAAGCACCTAGGCATGCAGACTGTTTTTACAAACATTTGTGAAAGAATGGGTCGCTCTCAGGAGCTCAGTGAATTCCAGCGTGGAACTGTGATAGGATGCCACCTGTGCAACAAATCCAGTCGTGAAATTTCCTCGCTCCTAAATATTCCACAGTCAACTGTCAGCTGTATTATAAGAAAATGGAAGTGTTTGGGAACGACAGCAACTCAGCCACGAAGTGGTAGGCCACGTAAACTGACGGAGCGGGGTCAGCGGATGCTGACGCGCATAGTGCGAAGAGGTCGCCAACTTTCTGCAGAGTCAATCACTACAGACCTCCAAACTTCATGTGGCCTTCAGATTAGCTCAAGAACAGTGCGCAGAGAGCTTCACGGAATGGGTTTCCATGGTCGAGCAGCTGCATCCAAGCCATACATCACCAAGTGCAATGCAAAGCGTCGGATGCGGTGGTGTAAAGCACTCCGCCACTGGACTCTAGAGCAGTGGAGACGCGTTCTCTGGAGTGACGAATCGCGCTTCTCCATCTGGCAATCTGATGGACGGGTCTGGGTTTGGCGGTTGCCAGGAGAACGGTACTTGTCTGACTGCATTGTGCCAAGTGTAAAGTTTGGTGGAGGGGGGATTATGGTGTGAGGTTGTTTTTCAGGAGCTGGGCTTGGCCCCTTAGTTCCAGTGAAAGGAACTCTGAATGCTTCAGCATACCAAGACATTTTGGACAATTCCATGCTCCCAACTTTGTGGGAACAGTTTGGAGCTGGCCCCTTCCTCTTCCAACATGACTGTGCACCAGTGCACAAAGCAAGGTCCATAAAGACATGGATGACAGAGTCTGGTGTGGATGAACTTGACTGGCCTGCACAGAGTCCTGACCTCAACCCGATAGAACACCTTTGGGATGAATTAGAGCGGAGACTGAGAGCCAGGCCTTCTCGTCCAACATCAGTGTGCGACCTCACAAATGCGCTTCTGGAAGAATGGTCAAAAATTCCCATAAACACACTCCTAAACCTTGTGGACAGCCTTCCCAGAAGAGTTGAAGCTGTTCTAGCTGCAAAGGGTGGACCGACGTCATATTGAACCCTATGGATTAGGAACGGGATGTCACTTAAGCTCATATGTGAGTCAAGGCAGGTGAGCAAATACTTTTGGCAATATAGTGTAGTTTGCCTGCTGCTGTTGACAATTCCCTTCTCACCAACAGAGTCTTATTAAATGCCTACCTTAAGGTTGAACTTTCATCTTATTTAGTTACTGCTGTTGTTGTTGTCGTATGATGGCATAAAATTGGTTCGGTCCGACTTTCTTTCTCAAGTGTAACTGCATGAAAAAACGTTATGTCCCCAAATAGACGACTGTCGTGATATTTTGGAGTCCTGTCTCTTTTGTTTTGGTGCAACTTTTTAAGTTGTTTTACAGGATTCACCATGTGCAATAAGTTCCCCATTGAAATCTTAAAGGTATAGTGGAGGATGTTCGTTTTCCGAGTGGATCATCAAAATAAGTGGTTGTCCAAATTGTCAATCATTCTGGTGATATGTTTACGTAAGGGTGTCCTATATGCTTGTCCCAGAGCCACACAGTGGGCCACAAACATGTCTGTCAGACTTGGTTAAAAGCCACCTCAAGTTCTCTTGCACAGCATTTGTTTTGTGTCTCATAATCCAAGGCCAACTGTGTACGAGGCGTGTCACTGACAGCTGCTTGGTGTCACTGGGGCCAAGTTGAGCTCTGAAGGCAATGCAATCTTATCCTGTCTCCAATGTCAAAGCCGTTTCTTTGACTCAGACCTACCTTACTAACCCTTCATTCAGCAAACACTCACTTTTCTGCAGTTTTTTGGTTCTACCCAAATATGTGTGGAGGACTCATCCTAGACAGGTCCCAATGTGA